CCCAGGTGCATTAGCAGGGAGCTGCATCAGAAGTGGAGCAGCCACGACTCCAAGCGACGCCCATGTCACAATGGCACCACAGGCAGCGGCTTTACCAACTACACCACAAAGCACTGGCCCCTTTAAAGGTCCCCTTTAATTTCTTTTTTGATCTAGTATTTGATCAGGAGTATATTATGTAAATTCTACATATCAGTGAATTCTCTGATTTTTCCTAATACTGATTTCTAGTCTCATACCACAGTGGTCAGAAAAGAAACTTGATATAATTTCAGTGCTATGTCTTGTGACCTAAAATATCACCTATCTTGCCGAATGGCCCATGTATGCTTGAGAACAAGGTGTAGTCCGTTGCTGCTGGATGGACTGTTCTGCGTACATCTGTGAGGTCCACTGGGTTTATAAATTGGTTTAAGTCTAATGTCTCCTTATTGATTTTCTGCATGGATGGCCTGTCCATTCTTGAAAATTGGGTATTAAAATCTGCTACTATTAGCATATCACTGTCTCTCTCTCCCCTCGGGTATCTCAATATTTATAAAGAAGTATTTATTTATTTTGAAAGGCAAAGTGACAGAGAGAGGGAAAGACAGATCTTCCATCTGCTGGCTCACTTACCAAATGGCTTAAAAAGCCAGGTCTGAAGTCAGAAGCCAGGAACTACAACACAGTCTCTCTCATCATCCACTGCCTTCATCATCCACTGCCTTCATCACCCACTGCCTTCCTAGGTGCATTAGCAGGAAGCTGGAGCAGAACTGGAGCACCTGGGACTCAAACCAGCACTCTGATACTGGATGCCAGTGTTGTAAGCGGTGCCTTAATCCACTGTGTCACAACACTGCCCCAGATCTCCAAACATCTGCTTTATGTATTTAGCTGCTCCAACGTTGGCTGCATTTAAATGTGTTTCTTTTTTCTTTTTAAAGATTTATTTATTTATTTTAAAGTCAAAGTTACACAGAGAGAGGAGGAGAGACAGAGAAAGAGAGAGGTCTTCCATCCATTGTTTCACTCCCCAGTTGGCTGCAATGGCTGGAGCTGCGCTGATCCAAAGCCAGGAGCCAGGAGCTACCTCCTGGTCTTCCCATGAGGGTGAGGGGCCCAAGGATTTGGGCCATCTTCTACTGCATTCTCAGGCCATAGCATAGAGTTGGATCGGAAATGGAGCAGCTGGGACTCGAACTGGCACCCATATGGGATGCCGGCACGGCAGGCAGCGGCGACTTTACCCGCTATGCCACAGCGCTGGCCCCGGCCGTGTTTAAATTTACAACTGTTATATCCTCTCCATGATCTGACCCCCTTATCCTTATACAATATTGATCTTATCTATCATTTACAGATTTTTACTTCAAGTTTATTTTCTCTGATATTAACTACAGCCACCTCTGTTCTTTTGGTTTCCATCTGCATAAAGTAACTTTTTCAGTCCTTCACCTTCATCTCTCTGTATGTTCTTAAAAATGAAATCTCTGGTAGTCATCATATAATTATGGGACTTACTTTTCAATGCTTTGAGCCACTCTATACCTTTAGATTAGTTAATCCATTTGCTTTCAAGGAAAATACTGAATAAGTAAGCAGTTACTAGTGGTGCTATTTTGTTCGTTTTTACCAGCTGTTTTGTAGATACTTTGTCCCTTTCTTCACAGCTGGGTGGTTTTCTGTATTGGTATATATCAATCTGTAAATCTGTTATGTATGTACTAAACATTTATGCTTCGTGGCTTCCTGAGGATTTCATAAAATATAATAGTCATAACTGGCTCTGTTGCACAGGTAACAACCTCACTTTGTACACACAAAGTGCTTTCTCCTCCCACCCCTACTTTATGTTTTTCATGTTACATTTTATACCTTTTTTACATTTATCCCTTAACAAGTTATCTTAGCTACAGTTTACTGTAATCATTTTGTCTTTTAACCTTTGTACTACAGACATAACTGCTTTACAAACTGCCAGTTCAGGATTAGGGTAAGTGAATTTGACAACGTTACAAATGTTTTCACATCCCTCAGTAGCATCCTTTTCATTCTGCTTGAAGACATGCTTTTCGCATGTCACAAAAGGCAGCTCTACTGGCGTTGAACTCCTTCGTGGCTGTCTGATCTTCACCTTCCCTCCACTCTTCCTGGGCAGAGCACTCAGAGCTGGCAGTTTTCTTCTGGACAGCAAGATTTCCGGGGAGAACGCTGTTCATAATTTCAGAGGGACTTTGTAGATACAAAGTTCCTTTCCTCTCATGGAATCGTAACTGAGGCAGGTCTCAGTATAGGTCACTCTGAATTAAACCTATCTGGTGCCCTTTCTCTGATCTGGTTATCTATCTTCCCCCAGGCTTGGCAAGTCTTCTGTGAGTGTTACTTTGAAACTGGTTTCTGTTTCTTGCTCTTCTTCTGGAACATCAGTAATGCACAAGTTGTTGCGCATGGTGTCCCTTAAGCCCCTCAAGTTATCTCATTCTCTTTCCTTCTTGCTACTCTAGCTGGATGACTTCAGTCACCTGTCTTGAGTTCACAGATCCTTTTTTCTGCTTGATTTACTCTCCTATTGAAACTCTTTACTGTGGCCGATGCCGCGGCTCACTAGGCTAATCCTCTGCCTTTGGCACCGCCACCTGGGTTCTAGTCCCCGTCAGGGCGCCGGATTCTGTCCCGGTTGCTCCTCTTCCAGTCCAGCTCTCTGCTGTGGCCCGGTAGTGCAATGAAAGATAGCCCAAGTGCTTGGGCCCCTGCACCTGCATGGGAGACCAGGAGGAGGCACCTGGCTCCTGGCTTCAGATAGGTGCAGTGCGCCGGCCACAATGTGCCGGCCATAGTGGCCACTTGGGGGGTGAACCAACGGAAAAAGGAAGACCTTTCTCTCTGTCTCTCTCTCTCTCTGTCAAGAAAAAAAAAAAAAAAAAAAAAGAAAGAAACTCTTTACTGGATTTCTCAGTTTAGTTACTGAATTCTTTCATTCTAAAATTTCTTTTCATTTACCTATACCTTTCTGTTTAAGATTTGTTTGAAAGTCAGAGTTATAGACAGAGGGATGGACAGACAGATATTCCATCCACTGGTTCACTCCCCAGACAGCTGCAATAGCCAGGACTGGACCAGGAAGAAGCCAGAAGCCAGGAACTTCTTCCAGGTCTCCCACAATGGGCAGCAGGGGCCTAAACAGTTGGTCCATATACTGGTTTTCCCAGGTCATTAGCAGGGAGTGTGATCGGGTGTGAAGCATCTGGGATACAAACTGCGGACCACGTGGGCTGCTGGCACTGCAGTCAGCCCCTATTTACTTACACTTTTTTTCCTCTCTCTCTTCAAATGATTAGTTTATTTAATCATGGCTCTCCTGACCTTTGTGAGCATTTTTATGGCCTTTCTTTTAGAATTTGTTGCCAGATAACCCACAGGACCCATTTCATTAGGGTCAGTTTCTATACACTTACCTTGTTCTTTTATTTAGAAAATGTCACTCTGTTTTCTCATTTTCCTTAACTCACTCCCCCTCTCTGCACATAGATAAAACACAACGGCCTCCCCAGGTCCCGTCAGATTAACTGGATGGAGAAGGATCTCACTAATCAATCTGGCTATATAGTCTAAGGTATTTCTAAACTCTTCGTTTTTCTTAATTGCTAATTGCTTTTAGTGAACCTCAAGTTTTAGAAAAAGAGAAATGTCAATTTCGCTAGAGGCAGACTAGGTGTTAAATGTGCGTTTCAGTTCCTTCAATCCCCAGTGTGAAGCTGAGAGCACTCTGTGTACACTAAACCAGGGAGAGGCTCTGTGGCTAACGCCTGTTAGTCCAGACAGCACCGTCTCGTTCCACGGAGACAGCTGCTCAAAGTGATGTAATTCAGGACCACGTCAACTCCTGGAGGCTTTCCCTGAGAGGGGAGCTCAGGACAAATGCCTTCCAGGAAGAATCTACAGACATGGGTTTTCTCATGGGAGGAAACAGGGAGAAATGGGATCAGCAGTGCCTGAGATCCTGCTCATCTGCCTATCCGCTCTGAGACGCAGGCAAGGTCAAAGACGGATCCTTAAGCAGCTGCTGGAAAACCATGCAGAAAGGCCCCTCCAAGGAGGGGCTGGAAGGTGCATTTATCCACTTCTCTGTACTGATTCTCTGGAGTGCAGCATCTAAAAATGCCCGTGTGTGGTCACAGCCACCTCTTTGATCCGTGTTACTATATACCAGATTTCATACAGAGCACCGACTCAGTGTTGTGCAGTATTGTGAAATTCATTCGTGCTTTTGCACGGATCAGCAGCTGCTCCTCTCACTGATGAGTTAAGTATTCTATTATATGGACACCTCATTGCTTCTTGATCCATTTGCCTGGTGGTGGACATTTGGGTTGCTTCCAGTTTCTGCTATTACAAAGTTGATATGAACATTAAGAAAACAAAGCCACACACAAACACACATGAAAGCCAAAGTGCAGCTACATTAACAGAGGGCCAAGCCTGCAGTTACACTTCTTGAACATTTGTCTATGTTTGATTACTCAGGATTGTGACAAAATAAAGGATTCTGAATTTTACTTACATCAGTAAGTGAAATGCTAGAGCTACCATAACACAAGCAGCTGTAAGAGGTATACAGCTGCACACAACAGTAAGGCAAACGGCAAGGAGAAAAAGAGGCTGTGATTCTCACAGAAGAGAAAAAAAAGTGCAGAATGCATACATCATGTATACAGATAAGTTGCAAATTAACTCCTGAACCTAAGGAAATTACTAAATAAAAAGGTACACTTATACTAAGAAACCTTAAAAACAACTAGGAAATGGCAGTACCACAAATATCTGACTATTTAGCTTGACTATTGCATAAGACAGTGTTATTTCTAAACTAGACTCAACAAAGTACATACAATTAATTCTTAACTTGGATACAACCAATATATCATGTTTTTTTATGTATAAACATTGTTTGCATGGTAATATAAACTAATTATGTACTAGAGTATCCCTAGAAAAAGTTTTCTCATAATACTCACCTTTGGAAGAACAGGCTTGGACTTGAAATTTCTGCTCCTCCTACAAAGATAAGTCAGTCATCAGAGAAAAACTATAGAGATCAAAGACTTCAGGGTATCTGCAGACATGGCAGATTCTAAGAATGTAGGTCCTATGTGTGAAACACTCTGACTCAACCAAGCATCCTTGGGAGGAAAGGGTAAACAGAAAAGAGGAGGCAAGAGATGCCTGCCTTGTAACGCAGGTGTGGGCAGATTTCAGCCTGACGGACGAGCAACATTGTATACTCTGAGACACAACTTCATTTTCTTCTGTGTTAGTAGGGTTCTACTTTGTAATTTCTTTTTTATTTTATTTCAAAGGCAAACAGAGAGACAGATGGAGAGAAATCTTCCAACCATGTTTGACTCCCCAGATACCTGCAATAGCCCAGACTGGACCAGGCCACAATCTAGGTCTCCTAAGTGAGTAGCAGAGACCAGAGCCATTACTGCCTCACAGGGTGCACACCAGCAGGAAGCTGGAATCAGAAGCAGAGCTGGGACTCGAACCAAGAACTCTGATATAGGATGCCAGTGTTCCAAGCAGCAGCTTAACCACACACCAAACACTGGCTCCAGGTTTTGCTTTCTTATATAGATGTATTTCTGTCATTTCAAGACATTAAATGAGATGCCTAAATTTCCTAGATTTTTTAAAAGGTAATTTTAACCAAAACATAATCTTGTCTTTTGGAAATTAAAAACCTTTTTTGGTTCTTACTCATAATTCAGTATTATGCTTAAACCAAGTCGTTTTAACTTTGTTTTAACCTGTTTTTTATAACTTAAAAATAAAACTGGGCACAGGCATTGAGCACAGCAGTTAAGGCAATGCTTGGGATGCCCACATCCCATACCAGAGTGCGTGGCTGAGTCCTGCCTCTGCTTCTCATCTACCTGGTCCTACTAATGCACACCCTCAGAGGTAATAGATGATGTCTCAAGTACTTCGATCCCTATCATCCATGTAGGAGACCCAGACTGAACTCCCGGCTCCTGCCTTCCATCTCGCCGAGCAACCCCTGATATTTGGGCAGCACATCAATAAATCGAACACCTCTAACTCTCCATCTCTGCCTTTAAAATAAGATGAGGGGGCCAGCACTGTGGCTCAGTAGGTTAATCCTCTGCCTGCGGCACCAGCATCCCATATGGGCGCCACTTCATGTCCCTGCTGTTCATTGTCTGACCCAGCTCTCTGCTATGGTCAGGGAAACCACTGGAAGATGGCCCAAGTGATTGGGCCCCTGCACCCACATGGGAGACCTGAAAGAAACTCCTGGCTCCTGGCTTCGAATTGGCCAGCTTTGTTCATTGTGGCCATTTGGGGAGTGAACCAGCAGATGGAAGACCTTTCTCTCTGTCTCTCCCTCTCACTGTCTTTAACTCTCTCTCAAACAAATAAATAAAATCTTTAAAAAAGATAAAATAAAATGAGGGGCCAGTGCCATGGTGTAGTAGGTAAAGCTGCCGCCTGCAGTGCCAGCATGCCACATGGGTGCTGGTTCGAGTCCTGGCTGCTGTTATTCCAATCCAGCTCTCTGCTATAGCCCAGGAAACCAACAGAAGATAGCCCAAGTCCTTGGGCTACTGCATCCATGTGGGAGACCCAGAAGAAGCTTCTGGCTCCTGGCTTCAGATCAGCACAACTCCAGCCGTTTTAGCTATCTGGGGAGTGAACCAACGGATGGAAGACCTCTCTCTCTCTCTCTGCCTCTCTGCCTTTCAAATAAATAAATACATCCTTAAAAAATAAATACATAAAATGAAAACAAACAAATAAAAGACAGGAAAGAAAGCCTAGTGCTTACAAATATGTTTTGTTAAGTCAGAAAGACCTAGGATAGAATTGCAGGCCTATCATCACCAAAATCTGTGATTTTCACCCTTCAAAGCCTTGGTTTCATTGTATGGCAACACAGAACAAGGAGGGCAAGAGCATTCACTTCTTAGAGTAGCTGTGAGGGCTCAGAGAGTTAATGTGCATTTCTGGCATGGCCTATATGAATTGAGCCAGCCAGCGCTATTAGGAAATGATTTAGACAGGGATTAAAGAATCCATCTAAATCACACCCCAGTCACTTGATCAAAAAACATGCTTGCGTACTATCTGAAGTGTGTTCACACTGTTAGTACACACACATGGTTACAGCATGCCTTCCAATCAGTGCTGTGCTCAGGGGACAAGCAGCCGAGGGTTGGTGAGCATCCTGTGCCAAGTGTATCACTGCATATGCTCCCATTCCCCCTCACAGTGATTCTCCCATCCAATCTGTTGCCAACATTAAAATACAACTGTAGTAAGGACTGAGAATCTTAAGATTAACCCCAAGAAATGACTAGATACTTCTGAGTCTTGTTTCAAATTTCTACCCATGAAAGTAACACTTCGCACCATCTCTCTTCTTCACTACTTCACCCAGGAATTTCATAGTGGACATAAAAGAGCAGCAACATTACTGATCAACACTGACGTGAGAATCCCATGGGCTCTCTCCAGAAGTTTGCTGCTGGCTGAATTCGCAAATACTCCATCTTTATCAAGCAAAGAAGTACTACTTGACAGTCTGCTCTGGCGAATCCCAGTTCTGACATTCCAGGTAATATCAAACGTATCACTGGAAATAAAAGAGTAGAATTTGCTTTAATTAATTAAGATATTTCTAATTAACAGACACTATACTGTTAAAGTACAATAGTACCTTAAATACTAACACTGAAATTTATTTTAAAAATGCAAAACAAGCACAAAATTACTTTCTCAAAATAGTTACCCATCAGATGGGTATATTTTTATTCATCCACAACTAAAATATGCATGGGATAAGCACATCAACATCTTTAAGTATATTATCATTCAATAATCAGTAAATAGTAAAATGTACTATGATATAATAGCTTTTCTCTGGTAGATTTTAGAACCTCCAAATGCTACCTCAGAAATTCATAACCCTAATAGGCCATCCCATCCTACAGAGTATCTGAAGGTCTCATTCGTACATGCATTCACCACTCATCCACTCAAGTTGCTACTGTGGGATGAGCACTATTCTAGGCACAAGAGATACAGAAATGAACAAAGCAGAGGCCAGTGTTGTGGTATAGCGGGTTAAGCTGCTGACTGCAATGCCCACACCCTACATGGGCAACAGTTGGAATCCCATTTGCTCCACTTCCAATCCACCTCCCTGCTAATGTGCCTGAGAAAGCGGCAGAAATGGCCCAAGTCCTTGGGCTCATGTACCCACATGTGGGACCCAGATGAAGTTCCTGGCTCCTGGCTTCGGCCTGGCCCAGAACTGGCCAATGCAGCCATTTGGGGAGTGAACCAGCAGATGAAAGATCTCTCTCTGTCGATCTGTCCCACCCCTCCGCCCCTCTTTCAAAAAATAAATAAATCCAAGAAAAAAAGAAATGAAAAAACATATAAAATTATCAATGACTGTAACACAGATTTGATGGAGGGCTATCCACATAAAGAGAGGAGATGAGACATACATCGGAAACTCTCTAAACATCCATGAAAACACTAGTAACATCTTTTAAAAGAATTAACCCTTAAGGACAAGAGACTGTACTAAGAAACAATAGCAATGCATGTTCATGAAATGCAAAGCATCTTGCTTTCTCGGGCTCTGACTGTTCTTCCTTTACTAAGGCCAGAGGATGAAAAAGAAGGTCCAGGACCGGGCAGCATCAAGCCCAAATGAGCACAGGCACGAGACACAGGAGGGAGGAAACCGGGAAACACAGGTCCTCAGCCCTCTTGTCCAGGCCGCTCCCAGAATGCTGGCATTAGATACTCTAGCCAGAAAGTTGCCGTATGTTTTTCTGGGAACTATGACCAACCCAAAAGGAAAAGATACTGTTACGCTGTATGAATGAACAACACCCATGCAAACTGATCAGAAGATCCCAACACTTTTCAGCACCTCAATTCTATGAACAGTCAACCAAGATTCACTGGACAACTATGAGAAATCCTAGCATGAAACATAGAGAGTGAAACAATCAAGGTGAACAATTTGACGGAAAAATGTCCAAAAAAGGGGGGGAAAGTTTTTAAAAACTATCATTAATATATAGAGAGCAGAGAAAAAAAATTCCACTCACAAATAAGAACAAGATGCTCCTAAAAATAAACATTCAGAAAGCAAAATAACAACAAGTTTCTAAAAAATAAAAGCACAGTAACACAAATGAAATGTGGTAGATGGACACATTTGTTTGTTTAAAAATACTTAGTTAGCATCTAGTACATGTCAGTTATTTGTCTAGCATACTAAATACAGCAAACAAGGTAAACACAGAATCCTTACAAGCACAGGGCTTTCAGTGAAGCAGAAGCAGATAAAAAATAAGCAGAAAATACATCAGATAATAGATGCTAAGGAGGAAAACAAGGAAAGAGGGAAAACAGTGCAAGGCTGCAAGGCTAGACACTGCCACATGAACGGTAATAAAGAAGGAGACAGAGAAGCAAATCAATCAACTATCTGGAGGAAAAGCAATGCCAGGCAGAGAAAAGCGAGCTCAAGTCCCTAAGCTAGGACTGTCATCGATGAATTTGAGCTACACTAAATGAGAAAGCAAAGCTGGGTAGGAGACCAAGTCAGGGAGGGAAAAGTACACTCTGTTGCACATGCCTTTTAGGGTAGCATAAGGAAGGTGGCTTTACCTAGCAATGAGACAGACACAGATTTCTGCACACAACACTAACATGACTCATCTCACAAACTAAAATATCATTCTGGCTATTGTATTAAACACAGTTTGAAAGGCCAAGGACAAAACCACAGAGATTACTTTAAGAGGCTATTGCAATAATCCATGTAGGAGATAATCTCTCCCTGCAGTGTCATTATTAGCAGTGGTGACAGCACACACCTCATTTTAGGGTGGAGCTAATATGACTTGCTGATGGAGTGAATGAAGTGTACGAGAAAAAGATAATTGAGAATGAGGTCAAGTTGGGTTTTTTTTTAGCAGTAATAAAAGATTAAGAGATGAGGAAGTGAGAGAGAACCATTCTTATAAAGCAAATAAACCAAAAAGGGTCAAAGATCATAAATAAAGTATTACATAAATAAGACAGAGCAAATTCCCAAGCAATAGGACTGCTGGTGAAGATCCCACAGATGCTGGTTCCAGGTGTGGTGGGGTGGGGGCAGGCAGGGAAGGTACTACAAAGAAAGGCTCAAGAGCGGCATAAAGAGCTGCCATTAACAAGTGCAGCACAAACAGCATGCTTGCTGACAAAACACTTTCCAGAAAGATCACATAAAAAGTAAGGATGTGAGTTCTTGCCACTCCTATTCTTGCCAGGGAAATCAGGCAAGAAAAAGAAATAAAATATACCCAAACTAGAAAAGCATCATATTTATGTGTACATGACATAACCTAATACCTGGAAAAGTCTAGGAGTTCACAAAAACGAACTATTAGAATAAATGAGTTCACCAAGTTATAGAAACAACTGCATTTTATAGAATATTAATGAATAATCTGAAAAGCAAAAGTTTTTACATTTGTTAATAGTATCAAATATAATGTATTACACAGAATAAACTAAAAATAACAAACACTTATACAGAGAAACTTGAAAATACTGGTAAAGGAAAATCTAAGTGGCAAAGCAGTTCATGTTGACAACAGGAAGACACATTGTTGTTGTTGTTTTTTTAAAGATTTATTTTATTTATTTGAAAGAGAGCTGCAGAGAGAGGTAGAGACACAGAGAGAGGTCTTCATCTGCTGGTTCGCTCTCCAGATGGCCACAACGGCAGAAGCTGTGCCGATCCGAAGTCAGGAGCTTCTTCCAAGTCTCCCATGCAGGTGCAGGGGCCCAAGGAGTTGGGCCACCTTCTACTGCTTTCTCAGGCTATAGCAGAGAGCTGGATCTGAAGAGGAGCAGCCGGGACTAGGACTGGCGCCTATACGGATGCCAGCACTTCAGGCCAGGGCTTCAACCCACTGCGCCACAGTGCCAGCCCTGACACATCATTGTTAAAATGGCAATGCCCCTTCAGCTGATCCACAGACTCCTCACAAAGCCTACCAAAACCACAGCTGCCTCCACTGCACAATCTCACAAGCTGACCCTACAATACACCCAGACATGCAAATAGCCCACAACAGATAACATGATTTTGAAAAAGAAAAAAGCTGCAAGAACGGCAGTTTGAATTTCTTGACTTACCACAAAGTTTCTGTAATTAGAATAACACAGTACTGACATGAGGAAAGACACATAGATCAATAAAATAGAATTCAGAGTCCAGAAATGAACATTTCAATTTATGGTCAACTGTGCTCCTGCAAAAGTGCCAGGACACGCCACCAGGGAAGGAACAATCTTTTCAACAAATGGTGCTGGGACAGCTGGACAGCCACAGGCAGAATGAGGCTGGAGCTCCAGCTCACATACACCATCAACTCAAAGTGAATCAGACATAACAATCTAACAGCCATAACAAGAGAACAGTTCAGGAGCCGCGGGACCTAGCCGCGGAAGCCGCAGGGTCTGCGCGCCAGTGCTCGAAGGGGAGTGCATGCCACACAGACAACAGTGGGGAGACTTGCGACGTCCAGGGCTCCGAGTCCACACATCGGTGCTGGAAGGGGAGGTGAGCTCAATAACCCGAGACATTGGTGAGGAAACGGGGGTCAGAATCTAGAGGGGGGCCGGAAAGTGCAGCAAACTCACTACCGGAAAGAAGGAAAAAAGCTTGGGGGTTTCTCTTTCCCCTAACCTTGCAAAGGTTGCAAGGCTGCAAGGCTTGAAGAATTCACAAGAGACAAAGTGCAGGCCCCTCTCTGGATTTACATATCAACGGGGGAGAGCTAAGGAACTGAGTCACTACAATTCAGTAGCCTAGGCAACCCAGTGGGAGTCCAGAGGAGCCTAAACAGACTCTGTGGGTAGAAGCCAGAGACTGGAAGCTAAATACCATCAATTCTGCACAGCCATGCCGTGTGGTGTTACTTACCCCCTGAATAAACAAAATAAATAAATAAATAAATAAAAGAGAGAGATTTACCACACATAACCTGAGGGTGTCACCTTTGCACACCCTTAACCAGGAAGAACCAAGCAGAGCTCTCAGGCCGCACCCATCTCAAGCCTCCAAGGCTCCTCCAACAGTAGGCAGTCCACTTAACACGGACATAGTATAAAATAAAAAAAAAATAAAAAATAAAAAAAACGCACAGGGACGAAAGAAGAATTAACTATGCCAAGTAACAAACACAGAAATCGAGGGAACAAGATCAACGATGACACTATGATGCCTCCAGATAAACAAAACACCCCAAACCAAGATTATGAAGATGATGAGATAGAAGAAATGCAAGATACGGATTTCAAAAAATTTATGATAAGAACATTTAGAAGTTTTCAAAAGCAAATCCTTGAACTACAGAAATCCTTATTGGACAAGATTGAAAATCTCTCCCGTGAAAATGAAATTTTAAGGAAGAATCAAAATGAAACTCAGAAACTAGTAGAACAGGAAAGTGTGATAGTGAAGAGAAATCAAAATGAAATGAAGAGCTCAATAGTTCAAATGACAAACACATTAGAGAGCCTTAAAAACAGAATGGGTGAAGCAGAAGAGAG